ATCCTTGGGGGAACGGTAGAAGATAGCCGTTAAATCTTCATTGTAAACGGTTCGAGATAGCCGTTGTGAAATCTCGGAGTGAATCCTATTGGCAAGGGTTGTTTGCCAAAACTAGTGCGGTGCTTTGACGGAGTTCAAGAGGCCGAGACTTAGTGGATTCGGAAATCCTTGAGGAGGAGCCTCGAGGTACTGGAGTAGGAGTTTCCCGAACCAGTATAAAATTGGTGTGCATTTTATTTATGCTTTTATTTCTGCGTTTTATTTATTGCTTCCGCATTTGCCAACACTGTTTTTATTAAACTCCGAAAAGATTTTAAAACGCCTTATTCACCCCCCCTCTAAGGCGTGGGCACAAGGACTAAACCAACCAACACTGTTTTTTGGTTCAGTAAGAAACAAAACTCCATATCTACATCAACAGAAGAAGCAGAGTACATTGCAGCTGGTAGTTGTTGTGCTCAGATCTTGTGGCTAAAGCAACAACTACTGGATTATGGAGTCAAGACAAAGGAAGTGACAATCTTTTGTGACAATCAAAGTGCTATAGCCATCTCACAAAATCCAGTGCATCATTCTCGCACTAAGCACATTGATGTCAAGCATCACTTCATCAGAGATCATGTGGAAAAAGAAAGATATCAAAATTGAGTATATCTCAACTGAAGAACAATTGGCGGATATCTTCACAAAACCACTAAGTGAAGCCAATTTTTCCGGTTTGCTTCACAAAATTGGTCTAATTCAATTAGACTGAGTGCGGTACACGTGGCAGCCCACTTTCCACGTCTGTCAAATTAGAGGGTAGGCACGTGGTCTTGGGAACATTAAAAAACCCAATCGCCACTAGCCGCATAAATCGCCCAAATTAAACCCAATCGCCACTATAATCAGATATCATTTGCCCACTCAAATTTTTCGTCGTCTTCTTCACAAGAATTCTTTGATAGAATTCTCAAGAACCCTAATTTCTTCAGATTCTCTCACCCAAACCTCTGAGAAAATGAAGATTGTTGGCGCTAATGTCCATTTCCAGAAGTTGGAAGCCAAATGCTCTTCACTAGTGTTCTATCAAAGCTATCTGGAGATGATTGCTGCTCAAGAACATACCGAATTTCTTCATATGGAGATTCACTCCAAATATGAAGATGAAGTTCTTGAATTCTACAGAAATGGAAAGGTCAAAACTGTCCAATCAAAGAAGGACCCACAGAGGACGATTCAAGTTATCAAGTCCACTGTTGGAGGAACCAAAGTGAAAATTTCTCAGAAGAAATTGGAGGAGAAGCTTAATCTTCCCAATTCTGGAAATGAAATTGGGAGACTTCCAGCCAAGAATCTGGATTGGAAGACTGTTGGGATTTCTAGGCAAATCCCCTCTGGTCCAGCGAAGAAATCAGATTTTAAGAATGATTACAAGTTAATCCTGGAATTGGTCATCGCATGCCTTGAATGTGGCAGTGGAGGACATTCTGATGACATCACTCAAGAGAGGGCATTCATCATCAACGCCCTCATTACCAGATCTAAGGTAAATTGGGCTAAACACTTCTTCAATTCTATTTCCAAGCACTTAGGAAAGCCCAAATAGAAGTACATTTTTCAAGGTCTATACCTTGGGTACATCTTGGAGACCATGGGTGTTGCCTTAGAAGGCAAGAAGTATGATGCCAGATATTGGCTATACTATCTATCTTCCAAAGGAGAAAACAAAATCAGTTCAAGTGTAGAGGAAAGTTCTTCAGACAATGTCCTTATCAGGAGTCTGAAGAAGTCAGTAAAGAGGAAGCAAGTGGTGTCCTCCTCCCCTAGTGCTGAAGCACCTCACACCCTTGCAGTGGTGAATTTGGAAGAACAAGAAGAAGAAGTTTCTGCACAAGGAGAACTTCAAAGAAAGAAGAAAAGAAAAATCACTTCTCCCCCCACATCTGGAAATGTCAATCCAGATGAGTTGATGGGAAAAGAACCAGTTGAGGAAACTTCTGCCCACAACCAGAGCCCTAAACAACTTGATGAAGAACTTCCTCAAGTTCAGAGTTTTCAACCTCCTCAAACAGATGATGCTGAGAACCAATTCATGCAACTCTACTTTGACTGGAGAGCTTGGAAGGTTGGAAACTCAGCAGAGCAGTTGTTGGAATGGGACCAACAACTGAAAAATAAGAAGATCATCAAGAAATGCTTGGGTCTGCCAGTCAACCGCTGCTGTGAGCAAATCCTGTGGAAAAGAACCTATGAAGATTTGCATCTGGAACACTTGGCGACCTCACCAGTTTCAGAATTTGAGGTTGACGATTAAGATCCTTCAGTCTACAGGCCAATCTTTTCAAAGGCCACAGAAGATCAGATGGTCCTCACCAGGAAGCCTCAGAGGAAGAACGTCTTCAAACCCTCCAATCACAAGTGTAAGAGATTCTCACAACTCCTTTTGAGATCTTCAATCAGCCTGAACTTGAGATTCCGGAGAAGTCAGAAGAAAATCTGGAGAAGTCCACTCCTCCAGAAACAAATGAAGTTCAAAAAGACCAAGCTATAGAAATCGAGAGGAGTTCTGCAGAAGCTGAAAACGAAGCTCAAATGACTAGACTGGATACCTCTGAAACTCCAGTTGCTATCTTTGAGCAGAACATTGAAGTTGAAGACAGAGATTCTCTTTCAAGGGACATCTCTGTGGTATTTAGGTGCCCTAGAGGCAATCAAATACCTATGTAACTGTACACTTTATCATGAATGAGAGGTCTTGAAGTACGTTTTATATCTCGTGTAACATAACATAGCTTCAGTCCATAGACGATAGCGCTTCAGTAACATAGATGAGGACTACGATGTTCTGACTATGAGACTGTTACTTCTTGACGAAGGCTATGTCTAGAATATCTCTAGTCGCACTTTATGATAATATGGACGTCATAACGTATCAAGACTAGTACGTACGAGATGAGATAGTTGCGTCTCATAGACTATAGGTATTGTGATATCTTAATCTGTACGTAGGTGCATATTATATTGATAATATGTGACTGGATTGACCCATCTTGAGAATACTGCATGGATCTACAGTAATGTGTTTATCAGTATTCTCAAATCGACCTTGCTATAACTATCCTCAGACTTGAAGTTATTACATTCTCTGATATGTGGGGCCGTATGCTTTGATTCATAACTAATGCTATCTGAAATACTGGTAGACGTACAGTTATGCGTTGGGTATGCCGCTAAGCATATTTAGAGATGTGAATAACAGATACAGGATCTGTCCCTTCTACTGTATAGAAGTATAATGTCAATGGGCCCACTGAATAGTAGGACTTGGGAAAGTGCATGGCCATGCCCAGATATGTCGCTATCTAGAGACTGATAAATATCTGATCCCTGCCA